TTTAGGGTAAGTGTATGTTTGCCAGAGAAGGGAGAGGGGTGAGAAATCATCCTCCGGGGAATAACCACACCACAATCCCTTCTCCATTCTCCTCTGGGATTTTGGGCATGCATACACACGTGCCCAGTGTGTTTCAAGCTTCTAGGTCCAGGGTTCAAACCATGGTCAGTCGTGTCAGAGTCCAGCGCCTTAATTGCTACCCCACCTGCTGGCCCCCATAGCATGATGATTTTTAAAGGCAAAAAATGAAATAGTATGACCAAGAATGCCAGTCAGTGCAGTTAGCTGCGGACATCCTGGAACTGTGTCCAGTGCTTATGCCCTTCCTCGGTGGCACCTGCAGTAATGGGCACAGCAGCTCCGAGGACACGGTCTTCAAAGCAGGGCACGCATTCAGAACCCACAGAAGCTCACGCAAGGGGGATACACTTCGTTTTTTTGTTTTTTGTTTGTTTGTTTTTGCTGGTCCCGAAAATACTCATTTTTTTGACGACAGCTTTGCAGTTTCTTTTTAAACATGACTTCTTTTCTCTCTTTTTATTTTGGCCTGTGTTATTAAGAAGGAAATTCTGGGACCAGCAGTTGGCATAATGGCTGTGTCACTGGACTCCCATGTAGTCGACCGTGGCTCGAATCTCGGACCCAGTGGCTTAAACTCACGCCAGGCGCATGTGTGTGCATGCCCAAGATCCCAAGAGGAGAATGGGGGAGAAGGATTGCCGCGTGGCCATCCTCCCCGGGGTGTGTGTGTGTGATTTCTCGCCTTCTGTCTCTCTTTCTCTGTCTTTCTGGCGAGCGCCCACGCCCTATAGCAAAAACCTCTCCAAAAAGAAAAAGGAAATGTTGAACTTAATTCTGTTAGTGAGAATAATGATGCAGTTTTTCCTGAAGGTCATGGACCCCAATCGGTTAAGACCAGGGTATTGGTGCCGGCAGGTGGTGTGGTAGTTAAGGCGCTGGACTCCCACATGGCCAGCTGTGGTTCAAGTCCCAGACCTGGAGGCTCGCTTTCTCACCTTCCATCTCTCTCTCATTCTGTTTCTCTCTGGTCAAATTAAAATAAGTAAAGTTAAATAAAATAATTCTTAAAAAAACAAACAACAACAAAAAAAAACAAGGGACCAGCAGTTAGCGTAATAGCTATGTCGCTGGACTCCCACGTAGTCGACCGCGGTTCGCGTCCCGGACCTGGTGGCTTAAAACTCACGCTGGGCGCGTGTACGTGCATGCCCAAGATCCCGAGAGGAGAAGGGATTGCGGCGGCGTGGGCATCCTCCCTGGGGGGTGATTTCTTACTTTCTGTCTCTCTCTGTCTGCCTGGCGAGGGCACGCGCCCTATAGCGAAAACCTCTCCAAACCAAACCAAACAAAAAAACAGGGTATTGACTTGGCTGGCCTCCCTAAGGCCCCTGCTCGAGCCCTGAGGGCTGCCTTCCCATACAGGACCAGCTCCTGTCCCCAGCAGATCCCTGGGGCCACCAAGTGCCAGGGGCCTTTGTCAGAGAGACCCCACTCTTGGTACAGGAGAGGCAGGGGACCCAGCCTAGCCTCTGACCTCCAACACAGTAGTTCAGCCACACACTCCCAGTTCGCCAGCACAGTGGCAAGAAAGAGTTTCCAGGGCCGCATGTTAGACTCTGACCCAGGGAGGTGGTTTCCTTTCCTGAGCTCAGTTTTCTCTCCTAGAAAATGGGGCAGTGCTGGTAAGAACACGGGTCCCTGGGTCCTGGCCTCTAGGGCTGGAGACATCCATATAGAGGTGGTTCCTGAAAGCTCCCGTAGGACATCCCCCCCCCCCCCCGCCCCGGGGCGGGGGGGGGGGGGGGG